CAAAGGTACATACTCATTTGATTTTCTTTCGAGTGAAGTCACTGGTGGATGATGAAGCTTGGGATCAGGGTTTTCTAACGGTTTACCTGTATTAACAGCGAATTTAAAGCGCTATACAATACACAATTGATATTACATGGGGATGGGGTTTTAAATAGTTTAAAATCAAATTTAAAGTGCCTCCAAATGAGTTCAGGAATTTGCAAATAGTCATCATGATTGGCACATATACTAACAATGAAAAAAAATCATTTCATATTTCAGATAATCCTGGAGTGTAAAAAATTGTTTATGAGCCAGCCTGCATTAGTCGACATTACAGTACCAGCAGTAAGTGTCAATAAAACAATGAATGATAACTCTCCCAACTGTCAACTAAACAAATTCAAGATAAATGACCACCCATAACTTGCTCATTACATGTCTATCAAATACTGATAGTGATGATACGTGGTGAGTATTTGTTTTATTTCAATTATTGACTGCTGTATCTCCAAATGAATTAAATGAACTTTAGAGTTATTTTTAAAATAATCATTTCCATCTCTTAAACGCCAACTACAACTGCTCATATGAACGATTACCTAATCTTTTTATTTACATGTATACCTTGATAATTATATGCTGTATGCCAGCACTAACTGTCAATTATGATGAGGATATGACTTACCTGCTAACCCTTGTTACGTTTTCAGGGAGAGAAGTTCACGATATGTGGTGACATCCATGGACAGTATTATGATTTACTTAACATATTTGACTTGAACGGACCTCCATCAGAGAAAAATCCATATGTATCCTTTTGCTGAGGAAGACATTACAGATGTCATTCCTTCTTTTTTGTGTTGCCCTGTCAAATTTGGATTGTAATGGAATGAACTATCTAGGTTATTTTAAAGTTGCGATTGGCAATCCTGTTGGCACAAAGATCACCAAATCAACTTTTTTATTCAGTGTGAAGTAGGAAAATAAAGTACATGTATTGAAAAAGAGGTAGGACACAAGTCAACTTGATGAACTAATGAGAGGAGAACTGCCAATGTACAATTGTTTGCTGAGATATTTGGAGGAAGCATGTCAATTGTCCATGCTAAAGGTCGTTGTCATTTGGTCACAGAATTTGGAAACAAATTGTATTTTACCATGATACTCCATTAATATTCCTTAACAATGTTTCCAGCTTTTCAATGGTGACTTTGTAGATCGAGGCTCCTTTTCAGTAGAATGTATTCTTCTGTTATTTAGTTATAAACTTCTTTACCCAAACCATTTCTTCATGGCCAGAGGTATGTAAGAATGATATCAACAGTTGTTTCAGTTACAAACTCTTTATAGTTAAAACACGACTTTTTTATAGTAAATGTAAATATTTTCACTGGGTAATATTTGATAAAGTATGGCCAGGTTTTAAACTTCTCAACAGTTTTGCAGTCAACATTTGTAACAAATTCACAGTCCTGTATG